CGTCCCGCACGCCCTGCTCTTTGATTAGCCGAAGCTTTAGATACTGGCACCACCACAAGGCATTCGATGGCTGTTTTGGGGTTATAGGCCCGAAGCTTCACAAAACCACAATCAATTACGAATGCAATTCCGTGAATTGTGATGGAGGTCTCAGCAATGTTGGTGGCTACTATCACCTACGGATACAGACACAATGAGGATACTGTGAACTCCCCAATCACAATTACACTATCAAGCCCCAGCATCAGTGCACCAGGACTTCCATACAAGCCACTTGAAAGATCTCAGATACGACAGTTCCAGTAAACACACTCTAGAGTACAAAAGGATACAGTACATGCAGCAGAAAGAGCTTGTCAGCTTGAAATAAGGCCAGTTTTTACAGTTTCACAGTCACTTCCTTATTCAAATTTATTCTCTCTTCATAAAAGTAGAAGTTGTCAGTGTTTGCAGAGAAAACATTAACTGACTGTAAATCAAATGTTTTTATGTAGTGAACTAAAAATACTTCCTTTCTGCTCAGTTATACTGAACTGTTACTTGTAACACTGGAATGGGGCAGGGGATAGCAGAGGAACGGAGCTGATTAAGCATTCCATGTTCAGTATTCCTGCAGAGATACGCTTATATACATGTCCTAAAATATTAAAAAATAATTGTTCCCAGATGACAAATCTTTATTTGACCTGAAATTAAAAAAGTAAATCCTGGAAGCTAATAGACTAATGTCATATCCTGGAGAGAAATGAAGCATTTATACTCTATGTTCTCCAATACCAGACGAACAATGTTACTTGTTAGACTCCAGCAGGCACAAGAATTACAGCAAGTCACCCCTGTGTAATTCTGTCAGCTTATCTCAGTCCCAACACAGGCTCTGCCTAAGCAGGAAGCACTAATCATGACCAATTATATAGTTCTGTGATGTTAAATATCCAAACAAGACTTGCAGAAGTCAAAACAAAGTTTTTTTTTCTACTAAAACCAAACAAGTTTTAACTTGTTTCTTAGGTTAAAATAGAGCACTTAACCACTCTGTCACTAATTTTTTCATTACTGGTGGAAAACAGCCATAGACACTTAGACCACAAAAAAAGATAAAAACTGGTAAAAGCAGAGGACTTCAGAGTGTAAGAAGCTGCAACTGGACGCAGACAAATACTAGGCTGTATGAAGACTCTTAAAAATTGAGAAGTTGATGAGGTAGACAGGAGAGTTAGAACTGACATGTCTAGAACTCATCAAAGATGAAAAGTGAAGCCAGAGAACACGTTCTTGGTTCACAGTCTGAAAACTGACAAGCAGCGTTAGGAGATGCAGAAAGATGCAGCAAGCGTTTGCAATAGTCTCATGATGTGAACCTGATCCAGACAACCTGTGTAATGCAGACACCCTTCTGGGTGGTAGAAATTGAGACATATGCAACAGCCTTACCTTCCTGACACTGTGAGAAACTCTCTCAAACACTTTCATTTGCTCAGGAGAAGGCAGCCCAGCATACATGGGGAGAACACGGAGGTGCTTTTTCATTCCAGTGCGAGAAAGGGCCCGAGCCTGTTCTATGAGCATGGAAACAACAGTCTCCACTTCCTCCTAGAGCCAGAGCAAGACAGGGGACAGAATGAGAGATGTTTCACTTTAATATCACATAGCTGTCACCTATTTACAAAAAATGCACCAAAATAATTCCAATATAATTTTAGTTGTTCAAACTTCAGGATCTTTTGACTACTCCCTCAGTTTTGTAATATTCTTACATAAATTGCTATTCATAATAAATATACATGTAAATATTTATGTTCATTGTTATTTGAGACAATGTCACAAATACATGAGAAAAATCACAAGGGAAGGACTGAACAAAGTTCAGGAGGAAGCAGGCACATTTTCCCATGTATCTCAACTTGTGGGAGCAAAATGGGAGGCCAATTTATTTTGACTGTGCAGAATGCTGTGGGTCTTGATCAGGAATGACACAGTAACAGCATTAACACTTACTGCTCAACTTCACATTTAATCTCAGAAATCAACTGTGGCATCTCACTCTTAAAAAACACAGACAACAAAATGTTCAGACATTGCCTTGTCAGATATCCAATTAGAAGTCAAATCAATAATGGGGATGAAGAATTTATTTTGAAAATATGCAAGATGTTATTGAAGCTCTTCAAGGTAGCTCCTCACTGGAAAAATTATAAGCTACCTTCTATTTACTCTTCTCGGCTGCAAAGTGAGCTGACAAGTATAAATAGAGCAGAGAGACTAGTAAATTTTTGCGTCAGAGCAATTTGTTTTTCTGTCAAAGCCTTCAGATGTTAAGTCTAACAAATGTAAATTCCATTTGCCTTAACTATTAATGATGACTCACTGTCAACTTCATAGATGTGACTAGCACCAAAAAACCCACATACTGTTCCCCTTATTAACAAGGCTGAAATCATACAGCATTAAATGAGAAAAAATATCATCCATCACTAGCTTTGATAAATCCAGACCATAATTACATTTTCTAAAAGTCTTTCAGACTGGCTTAATTTTGCTCCCATCAATGAAGAAATATTTGTCATCTTTAATGAGATTAAAGTAAGCACAGCTCTAAGGAAAGAAGGAGACTGAGGTGGCTTTGCAAAGCCCACAATACAGCACTGTAAAGCAAAAAAGTTGCATATGTCTATACCTGGCCAGTTAAAAATGCCAGTATATCACCATCATGCTCCATCTGGTGAATTTTCATTGCAGTTTCCACAGTTGATTTTATGTAGTCTGGAACAGGACTATAGGGAGAGAAAACAGGAAAGACATTAGCAGAAAAACAGGTAACAGACTCCTCACTTCCATAAGGAACAAATAGAGCACTAGCTTTTGGACACTGTACATCAGCCATACCACATTCAGTTCATGATGCAAGCTTGGCAATCAGCCTTCAGCAGTTTATTTGTTTCCTTTATATAACAGTAAGCTTAAAAATGTCTGCTGTTATAAGAAATATCCAAATGTTTCCCAAATTGAATGTTACACCTCCTTACCATTGGTCTGGGAATTTCTGAGCCTTAACCTAGACAAAATGATGCCACAGTTACACACTCTCCTAATCACCAGTGACAAGATCAAACAGCAACACACCTCTGTATGTAAAAGATGTCCACTGGAAACGTTCTCCCCTCGACAGTAAGGATCACACTGGTATCTTTGCTGGGGTCACCGGTCTCATTTTGATTAAAAAAATCCCTGAATTTCTACATAAAAATAAATTTAAAAATACTTTCAGTTTGATACTTCAAAGAATTGAGGGAGAAACCTAAAGACATGACAAAGTTAAATTACTACTACTTGGATGTCTTCTTCAGAAATTTGACAGTATTTTGATAAAGTTCCTATTTAAAAATTTTAAAGTTTGATTTTGTCGCCTTCTATTCTGTCTGAGATTCAGGCATTTAGCACAAATACACTGTCTTGCATGTTTATTACTTTGAGAAGCAAAGATCTAAAAGAGGTAATAAAATTAATTAGATCAGCTGATACAGTTGGAAAAAGCAGATATATAAACTTTTTACTGGGTCTATAAGAGTAGCGAACTCAAAGCTAAAAAGAACTTCGAAATTATTGGTCCTAAAGTTTTGGGTAGGGCTTGCATATTCTCATCCATTTTTGGATGAGTAAGTAAATTTTACAGCTCTTACTGAACACCAAGACCTCACTTTGTAAAAGCAGAGTTAGGCTGATTTATGTAAGTTTTTGACTTAATGTGTTACAAGACTCCTTCATAAATTTAGATTTATTGCCATGAAGTATTTTAAATACATAACAGCAAAAGAATGAACATTAAGAACCCTAATAATCCATCTCAACTTTTATGACGATTATAGAGATACCATAAACTTTCTGTATTTAAACAAATGTTTATATAGTCATACTAATAATTTTGCTCCTATTAACTTATTTTTACATTAATTGCAAACTATTTGAAACATGTGATTTCTGGCATTTAGAATTTTGCAAAGGTAAAGTACCATAATGTTATCTAATATAATGTACAGAATAGAGAGTAGTGCAAGTACTACCAAACAACAGCATACTATCAAGATTTATGACATATGATATTTGCCACTGAAGGATATCTCAGTACACCTACATCTTCAATGCTACATGCAAGCTCTCACCACCACATCTCATGAAGGACACAGTGGAGTTAGGAAAAGTACAGAGAAAACATGAACATGATAAAGGAGATGGAGTAGCTGCCTTATGAAGCGAGGCTGAAAAGGCTGGAGCTCTGCTTGGGGAGCAGAAGGTTGAGAAGACACACAGCTGAGGTTTACAGAATCAAAGGTGACAGATAAAGTAAATGAAAGCTCATTTTCATTTTGTTTTTTTTTTTAAAAAACAAATCCCACACTACTAGAACTAGGAAGTCCTTGATGAAACTAGCAGGTTTAAAAGAAATTAAATAAAGTTTTCATTATATAGCAGGTGGCAAACTTCTGAAAATTGCTCTTACATGATGTCCTGGAGGCTTACAGCCTCATCAAGCAGATTCAAAGACAAATTAACAAACAGCAGGTCCATAAACACATACT